GCTACAATTCCTTCTCCTCCATTCTCCTCTTGGGATCTTGGGCATGCATGCACACGTGCCTGGAGTGAGTTTAAACCACCGGGTCTGGGACTCGAACTGCAGTCGACTACATGAGAGTCCAGTGATATACCCACTATGCCAACTGCTGGTCCCTACTGATTTCATTTTAAAGAGGTTGCTTTGGTAATTTATTGAGCCCCTTATGGGCCAGGTATAGTTGAGGGCATGGACGAAGGGCCAGGGAGTTGAGGGCATATGCAAGGAGGGATTCTAATGATTGGCCATGGACTGGGTAGGGACATGGCTTGTCTGGACTTTTTGTTCCTCTTCTTATCCTATTAGCCCTAATTTACTCATGCTAAAGAATGATGACTAACATGCATGGCTGATGAGCATTTGCAGTTTCTCTATTTTGATCAGGTGTTGCCTGGTCTATGAGCAGGTCAGAAATTGGGTGGGGCGTGACAGAAGCTTGTTGAACTGCTGGGTGGTTCTGACATGGCAGTTCTCTGTCAATAGCCATTTATGGAATTTCACGTCTATCTCTGTATTCCTTCATCAAGCAACAAATGGGGAATGGAAAAAAGGAGTGAAACTAAGTATCTGAAAAGTGATTTTACTAATTTGATCACCTCCAATTTTTTTTAGGCACTTGATGAATTAATAAGTAAAGGCTTACCTCTAATTCTGGGTACAGTTGGCCACCAACATCTCATAAATAAGTTTTATTTCATTAAGGCACACTTTTTCTTAAGTGTGGCTGCAACAATAAATTGTGTCCCAGAAAATACAATGAAATCATTCTATCATGGAGATGTTACTGAGAAGAACAAACCAAATCTCTCCAATGTGAAAGGTAATCATGTATTTTTTTGCTTGCTTCCTCTTTTCTTTCTCAAACTACTTCCAACTCTACCCCCATGAATCCATATGTTTTGACTATTATAGTTTTATAATATATTTTAGAAATCAGGGAGTGTTTTGTTTCCAGTGTTACTCTTTTTTTCTCAAGGTTGCTTTGGCAATTTGGGGTTGTTGGTGTGCCCATACAAATTTTAGGATTTTTTTTTTTCTGTAAAAAATGTCATTGGAATTTAACACGAGATATCTTTCCATTTATTTGTGTCTTTTTCAATTTATTTCATAGATGTTTAGAATTGTCAGTGTACAGATCTTTTACCTCCTTGTTTAAATTTATTTCTAAGTATTTTTCTGAAACTTGTGTAAATGGCATTATTTTTCATTTAGTGCATTATTAGTGTTTATAAACACTATTTTTTTTTTCTTTTTTCATGCCAGAGGACACATGGGCATGAAAAAAGGACAGAAATCCTTCACTGGACCTGATCATGCCAGTATTCCCCTCCCCCAGTCACCTAGTCTCTCAGATCTTGGGCACACGTACCCAGCATATTTCAGGCTGATCAGGCTGGGAACCAGGACTATAGTCACTATGTGGGATCTGACCTTCTGAGCAGTTCATTACCACTGCACTGCTGAGTTGGACATAATTTCACTTTTTAACTGTAAGTGTGTAAGAGTTTTCTCTCACAACTGGTTGCACATTTTACTGGTTATGCATTTGCCTAAAACCCACCTGTACATCGAAATAACTTGCATATTGACAATGCATTTAATTCTAAGAACTTTTTTTTTTTTTTTTTTTTTTGGTGCTTTGCTTGCATTTCCTAAAGCACTCACACCTGCTCCTAGCAGTTCTACTTCCCATGAGAATTTCTCTAGCTGTCGAGCCTTTGTATAAATCAGAATAGGCTGATTTGTTACCACAAATGGTAGCTTGGCCCAGCAACGATTTCATAGCTTAGCCCAGCAACGATTTAGTTTTGCCTGGATTGACAAAGAACTGTGCTTTACAAAACCACTTAGAGACCCAGGTACCACCACTTGTAGGTAGGTGTACAGTCTGACATTCTGCTCTGAGATTGTCTAGAAAGGTGAGAGAGAGAAAAGAAGTGGGGAGTAGGGAGAATGAATATGGGGTGGCACATGAACTTTTATTTATTTATTTTTTATTATTATTTATACCTTCAATCATTCTGCTACATTTAATTTGTAAAGAGATTTTACCCAATGTGATATACACCACACAGCAGGTGAGTTGAGAATACTGTACATAATATCACTAGCAGGCAACAAATCATATCTGTGTCCCACAAAAGTCTTACTTCCCATTTTTTCCCAAATTTCCCTTCCTGCACTCTTCCCCTCTCCCACTGTCCTTCTAATTTGTCCCCAGTGTCCATAACAATTTTCAATACTTTTATGTCCTCCAGTCTTTTAGTTTCTACCATAGAATGTAGATAGTTGGTATATATTAAGTGGAAACATACAATGTCTCTGTTTCATAGCCTGACTTGCTTCACTCAGCAATAAATCTTCCATGTTCATCCACTTTCTATCTAATGTCAGGGTCTTTTTGTGTTTCATGGCTGAATAGTAAGCAAGACCCCGAAAGCATAGGCAGTAATCCCCAAAATAGACAGGTGGGATTATTACATCAGATTAAGAAGTTTCTGCACAGCAAAGAATACAGTAATTAGTGTGAATCGACAACCCTTGGAATGGGAGAGAATTTTCGTTAAAACTGTGCCTCAGATAAGGGACTGATAACCAGAATACACAGAGAACTCAAGAGGTTTACCTGGAAGAAAATGATTAACCCAATTAAAAGATGGGAAAATGAGCTGAATAAACAACAGCATCCTTCATTATAAGGGAGATGCAGATCACAACCACAATGAGATACCACTTAACCCCAGTCAGAATGGCAAAAATTAAAAACAAAAAACAAAAAGAGACAGAAAATGATAAATGTTGGTGGGAATGTGAAAGATAAGAGATAAGTGCTGGCGGGGATGTGATGAAAGGGGAACTCTCTTACACTGTTGGTGGGAATATAAATTGGTCTAGCCACTATGGAGCACAGGAGCTTTTAAATACTTTAGTCCTTATTTAAATGCAAAGAGAGTTAGAAGCACAGTGTTGCCAGATGCTAGGAAAGAGAAAAGAATTCATAGGAATGAACATAAATGGTCTAAACCACAAACATTTTAAAATGTGTTATTTCTTATCCTGGTCATTTCATTGGGGTTCTTATCTTGTCATCATCCACTTAATGATAGAAGGAGAATTCAGAGAGGCGTAAAAGGGTAGGCAGGTAACCCTTCTCTATTGGAACATCAGGTCTTTTCGTATCTTTTAGCTTGTGGTTGGCTAATTTGTCCTAATATTCTTTGTTTTCTAGGAGGCCATGGACATCAGGAACACTCATTTGGGATCCATGTTCATTTGATCTCTCATGAGTTGATGAATATCTGTGGGTCAGACTCATCCTAAGTTCTCTCGTGTTCTAATTTTCATTCTAGTTGCTTCATATCAGTGTCCAGGCATTAGTTTTCTATCTTCGTTTCCCTCACTTTCATTTTATCCCTTTGGGGAGAAGGCTGTTTCAGATATTTCTGATGGACCTTTACCAAAGCCTAAACCCTCCTTTATCTTCAGCTGACCCCTAAATTCAGAGCCTCTAGTTTTGGGGAGTAGCCAGATAGGCTGGAGTTGAAAAAGAAGAGGGGCCAGCCATGATGCTGCAGTAGTAATGTGATGCTTCTCTATGTTAAAGTCACATGGGATGGTCTCAGATTCACATCCTGGGCCTCCCTGTATATACCATTACTCACATGTGACTGATCCCGGTTGGCTAAAGTTGCCAGTAGAGTGTATGTAATGTGAAGACTCCTTTGGAGGCCCCTCTCTTGCTCTCATGGAAGAAGTAAATAAATACACTTTTTAAAAGGGAAAGGAGGGGCCAGCAGATAGTGTGGTGGTTGAGGTGCTAGACTTCCACATGGCTGACCATGTTTTGAGTTCTGTACCTGGTGGCTTGCTTTCTCCCTTTGTCTCTCTCATTCTCAAGTGAGTGCATATGCCCTATAGCAAATTTTTAAAAAATGATAAATAAAATTAAATAATTATTAAAAAGAAGGAAAGGAAGTCAAGTGTGTCTTAAGTCATGTTGTTGTAGAATCCTTCTTTCCATTTGATAAATTTTGTCTCTTTGGGTGGGTGTTTTTTTGAGGTACTTTCTAGTTAAATAACTCTTCTCTTTCTTCACCACTCTAGAAGCCAAGTTGGCAAAAATTGTGATCAAAATTGTGTTACTTGCCCCTGGTTTGAAATAAGGGCAGACTTTGGATTATGGGTGGGAATTTTCAGAGAGATATTACAGGTTGTAGATTGTGTTGTTTCCAGTGGTCTTTCTTTCTACTTTGAGTGAGGGGCTCGTGCACAGCAGAACAGATACGTCCAAGATCTTTTTGAAATGTTAGAAATATCTGGAAGACTCATAATATTCTGAGGGCCTAAAGGTATCATGGGACCCCAGGAGATTAGCCACTACTTAATATTAATAGCTGCTAACTTGGATAACATCATTAAGCAATCAAAAAATTGTTCAAAATCATCTAATTTGTTTTAAGAATTAGCCTCAGCTTTCTTTCTTTCTTTCTTTTTTTTTCCCCAAAATAGGAAGTACAGGTTTATTTTGGTGCAAATAAATCTTAAAATGCAGTTCGTTTTCCTTTTTTACTTTTTTTTTAAATTCAAGTCACTCTGTATCATTACAGCGTACCAAACGAATTTTCCAATCATGAATACACTATATATTGGTTGAGTCAAAATATTAACATAAATAACATCAATAGACAATTTTCCATTTTTGTGACTCTTAAATGTTTGTATCTTTCTTTTTCCCCTTGATTCCCTCCCTCCCTTCTACCCTCCCCGATTTGCCACCCTCCTCGCACACTGTCTTCAGTATCTACAGTTGCTCTTCATGTTTTTTTTTTTGCAGCTACAACAAAGATTTTTTTCCATCCAGAGTACAATGTATATTGTCTCAATAAAGCACATCAACACACATGTTATTGTCAGCAAATAATTTTACATTTCTTCTTTTCTGTATGTTTTGCTTTTTTTCCCCCATCCTTGATTCCCTATCTCTTACCCTCTGCCATCTCCCACTATCCTCCCACACTGTCTCTGGTATTTATGTTTGCTTTCAATACTGTTTTCCCCCCACATTTTATTGAATTACTAAAGACCTTAATTAATCTAATTATTTTTATAGCAAACACAGCTGATGTATACATTTCCATGAACACAAGTCTGACTTTACATATCCTATAATGTAGCACCTAGCTGGGGCTATATATCTTACTGCAGTCATTGAGTAGATATTTTTTTCTGAAACTTTTTTTTTGTAACTTAATTTACATTCTAAAGTCTCAGCTTTCTAATGTATGACATTTAAGGGACTATTTGATATAAGAATGATCATTAAGTATTTTTTTAAATTAGATTTATGAATAGTTTCTCAATGAATGACAAGCTTTAAAAACTAGAATAGGGACCAGCAGATAGTGTAGTGGTTATGTCCCTGGACTGCCATATGGCCGACTGTGGTTCGAGTCTCAGACCAGTGACTTCAAAATCACACTGGGTGTGTATGTATGTGTGTGCCCAAGATCTTGGGAAGAGAATGGAGGAGAAGGGATTACAGTGTGGCCATCCTCTTGCGGGGGGGGGGGCATGAATCCTCATATTCACTCTTTCTGTCTCTTTCTGGTGAGTACATGCACCCTCTGACAAAAACCTTGAAAAACAAACAAACAAAAACTAGAATATTTTGAGCCAGCAGGTGGCATGGGGGCTAAGGTGCTCAACTGCCACGTGGTCTGCTTTGTAGTTTGAGTCCCAGACCTGATAACTTGAAAACCATGCCAGGTTTCTACATGTGTGTGCCCCAAATCCCAAGAGAAGACTGGAGGAGAAGGGATTGTGGCATGGCCACCCCCCTTGGGGGATGGTTCTCACTTTCTCTTTCTCTCCATGTCTCTCTCTGGTGAGCATGTGTGCCCTATAGCAAGAAACAAACAAACAAATAACCTAGACTGTTTAAACTAACCACAGATGTTCTTGGTCCTTCTAAAATTTTATGTCTTTGTAGACCAAAATCCAAAGGAGGAACGAGGCTCAATTTTTCAGCTTGCAAAAATTAAAGATGATATCTCTCTTGGCATGCTAAAGGTAAGCTTGAAATGTTTTTTCAAATCATTGTAAATCACTTACCAAAATGGACATTCATAGGCTCTAGACAGGCCCACTTGTAGGGCTGTGCTTACTCTTGGGCAATCTAGTACTTTTCTTGTAAAAGCATAGCTGGGGCCAGAGATGGAGTCAACTCCCTGTGAGAATAGTAGATGCTCAGAGGGGTCAGGATTTTGACTTTACAAGAGTCAAAATGAAGGTTCTTCACAAGACGTGACTCATAATTTGGTGGGATTTGAGTATTCTAAGCAGTCGTTCTCATTTCCTAATAATCATAAGGATGGAACAGCAACAACTAGCATTTATCCAGGGCTTGGATAAATGGCAGGCTGGCTGCATTATTATATAATGCTCACAACTCTGTGATGAGGATATTAATCACCTTAAACTATGCTGTATTGAACCATGAGAAAACTGTTAGGAAACCTGTAAAAACAGATCTGGAAATAGGACCCGTCTTTTTGGTTCAGATGGTCATAGTCTTACGTCATTGCTAAATTGCCCTAGTAGTTATATAATATTCACTGCTCTTTACAGACACCTTTCTAGACTCCTCTTGCTTGAAGGATTGGTTGGTCCCTTTATCTTGATGTTGCTATTTACTTTCAATCATCTATTGTAAAGTTCATGATCTTCATATTAGCAATCAGGTGACCATATTCAACTTGAAATCAGTCCTTATTATTTATGGATTCTGTGTTTGCTAATTTTTCTATCCACTGAAATTTATTTATAACCTCAAAATCAATATTCCTCTGGAGCCAGCAAGTGGCGGTGTTGAGGCGCTGGATCCCACTTGGCTGATTCTGAGATCGAAATTGTGGACCTGGCTGCCTGAAAATCACACTGGGCACATGTGTGTGCATGCCCAAAATCCATAGAGGAGAATGGAGGAGAAGGAACTGCAGCTTGGCCATTCCCCCTAGCATGTACTTTTTCTGTGTCTCTTTCTAATGAACGCACGGACCCTATGGCAGAAATAAAAAAAAAAACTACAAAAAAACAAACAAATAAACATTCCTGGCACCTTTTTGTCATTCGTGAACACTCTCAGAACATACAAAACTTTGAGTTCCCTGATGTGCATATCCTCAGCTAAGTTGAACAGGGGGCAATGCTCTGACTTTTGTTTCAGTTTGCAGATTATAAATGAGTCTCCTTTTCATGGCCCATTTAGTACCACGTTTTTCACATTTTTGTGCTTTTTGTTGTTGTTGATTTTGCTATTTAATATGATCTCGAAGCATAGCACTGATATGCTGTCTAGCATTTCTAAGAGCATGAAGACTGCAATGTATCTTATGGAGAAAATATGTGTTTTAGATATGTTTCATTCAGACATAATTTATAGTGGTTAAGTACAAAGTTAATGAATCAATAATACATATGAAATGTGTCCTTAAACATAAACACACATTAAACAAGATTATGTGTTGATCAGGTGATGAAATGTTGTGACCAGAGGCTTGCAGAAACCTCTCTGTGTATTTCCCCTCAGACTGGTGGTTTAGCATTCACTAATCAGTGTGGCGGCAGCTTTATAGAACATTACAGAAAATACTAGCTGCAGTTGTACACACAATAAAGGATAATTATTGCACATGCTTATGCTTCCCCTTACTTTCCTTTTCATTTTCAGTGCCCTTTCCCTGTTCATGGAGCTCTCTAATGATTAGGTACAGATTTCCTCTTTGGTCTTCCATTCACTGTTACTTTACAGTACATTAAAAACATTTGAAAAAATAAGAATGTGCTGTTATGGGGCCAGCAGGTGGCATGGTGGTTAAGGGCGCTGGATTCCCACATGAGTGACCGCAGTTTGTGTCCCGGACCTGGCAGCTTGCTTTCTCTCTCTCTCTCTGGTCAAAAATAAATAAATAAAGGGACCAGCAGTTAGCGTAATGGTTATGTTGCTGGACTCCCACATAGCCGACCGAGGTTCGTGTCCCAGACCCAGTGGCTTAAACTCACGCCGGGCACGTGGGCATGCGTGCCCAAGATCCCAAGAGGAGAATGGAGGAGAAGGGATTGTGGCGTGCCCAACCCCCCTGGGGGGTGATTTCTTGCTTTCTATCTCTCTGTCCCTCTCTGTCTGTCTGGTGAGCGCACGCGCCCTATAGCAAATAAATAAATAAATAAATAGAGTTAAATAAAGTAATTCTTAAAAAACAATGAAGAATGTGATGTTATGGGGCCAGGTGGCATGGTGGTTAAGGGCTCTGGATTTCCACATAGGCAGCCATGGTTCGAATCCCAGACCTGGCAGCTTTCTTTCTCTCTCTTTCTCAGTTTCTCTCTCTTTCTCTCTCTCTCTGTCCCTTTTTGGTCAAAAATAAATAAATAAAGTTAAATAAAGTAATTCTTAAAATAAAAAAGAATGTGGGACCAGCAGTTAGCGTAATGGCTATGTCGCTGGACTCCCATGTAGTCGACCGCGGTTCGCGTCCTGGACCCTGTGGCATAAAACTCACGCTGGGCGCGTGTGCGTGTGTGCCCAAGATCCCAAGAGGAGAATGGAGGAGAAGGGATTGCAGCGTGGCCATCCCCCCGAGGGGTGATTTCTTGCTTTCTGTCTCTCTGTCTCTCTCTGTCTGGTGAGCGCATGCGTGCAATAGCAAAAACCTCTCCAAAAAAAAAAAAAGGAATGTGATGTTATATGTATTATTTCTGAACTTACATGATGGTGTGTTGTTCTATCCTTAGGCAATTTTACTGACAGAGGCTGAAGACAGGCTGAACTTCCTAGTGTCAGAGATAGAGAATACAGGGCATAAGAACCTGTCCCAGTGTTCTGCTGGTGAGTTGGAGACTGTGGTGGAGGCCAGGCTTCAGCTGGCTGCAATTGCCCTGCAGAGACACCGGGCAGCATACAGGTGAGTCTTTTTGTGCAGAGAAGAGGTATATATTTGAAGATGTTCATCACCCTGATTTGTTAAATATACTTATTTATTTATTTTTTTAATGTTTTAGAAATTCTTAGACCCAGGGTTGGCAAGTGTCTTGGTGGTTGAGGTGCTGGACTCCCACATGGCTGAGTATGGTGGCTTGCTTTCTCACTCTCACTCTCTCGCAGGTCAAATTGAAGAATGGTAATAGTAAATAAAATAAAATAAATAATTTTTTAAAAAGAATTAGATATCTTTTTAAAAAGGCAAAAGAAACTCTTAGATCCACTAAGCAAACTTCCTTTTTATTATTCGCAAATGTTCTCATACTTTCTTACATCTAAAACTACAGTTATCAGAAAAGCAATTGCTTTACTGTAGCAAATCCCTTGGTATTGAATGTCATATATAAAATGAAAAAATTAAGTGCTTGGCTTATTTATTTATTTAATTTACTTTATTTAAACACCAAACCTAAGTTCCTTATAGCTTTTTTACAAATAAAACCCATGGACCACCTTTTCTTTTTTCAACACCAAATAAATATATTAAAAACAAACTCATTGTCGGCAGGTGGCATGGTGGTTGAGGTGCTGGACTCCCACGTGGCAGACCACAGTTCAAGTCCTGGACCTGGCAGCTTGCTTTTTCACTCTCTTTTCTCTCTGTCTGTCTCTTTCTGACCAAAACCAAAGAATGGTGATAATAAATAAAATTAAAAATCAGTAAATTTTAAAAAATAACAGGCTCTAGTTTTAAGTAATATCTTCTGAGCTATGCTGTGCTGAACTATGTAAGGAACCGTTGTAGGTATCTCATTATTTAAAGTTGATGCAATTGTTAGTGTCAGATCTTTCATTTAACTTGTTCTTTGATCATTTGTTATTACCTGGAATGGGGGGAAATTGAGGGTGCAGCTTATTTAGAGGAAAGATCAGGAGTTACATTTTGCATATATCCAGTCTGAGATGCTTCTTAGATGTACAACTGCAGATGTCAAGTGTTCTTGAAGTCTTTAGAATACAGACAGTGCTTAAAATCTTAATACTAGATGAGCTTCCTTAGGGAGTGTAAATAGAAGAGAGAAGAGGACTGTTATGGTTTGAATGTGCCTCTCCAAAATTCATGTGTTGCAATTTGGTTCCTATTATGCTGGGATCAAGGGGGTAAAAACTAAATCCAACCATGGGATTGAGAGGTAGAGCCTTTGGGGGGTGATTAGGTCATGATTGAATCCTAGTGGCTTATAAGGAGAGGCAGTGTGACACAGAGGCACAGACATGAACATAGAAACATGCGCACATTCATTCTGTCTTGTCATGCGATATGTTGTACTGCCTCTCAGGACTCTGAAGAGAGTCCCCACCAACAAAAAGACCTTCATCAGATATGACCCTGATCCTTGGGCCTCCAAACTGTGAGCTCAGTAAACCCCCATTCTTATAAATCACTCATTTTCAGATATTCAGATGTTAGCAACAGAGAGATGGTCTAAAAAGAAGGAGCAAGGCCTGAGTGCTGGGCTTGGCACTCCAGCCTTACAATACTGAGGAGGAAATGAGGAACCAGCAAAGGAGACTAAGAGGAAGGTGCTGGTAAGAAAAAAGAAAACCAAGAGATGATGAAATTCTGAAAGCCAGGTGGACCACATGTATCACGGAGAATGGAGTGATCACAAGGTGTTGATAGATTAAGATGAGATAGGCCATTGAATTTAGCAATGCAGACCTTGAGAGGAGTCATTTTAGAAGGTAATGGACAAAGAGCATGTTTATTTATTTATTATTTATTTATTTTTTAAAGAGGTTTTTGCTATAGGGTGCGTGTGCTTGCTAGACACAGAGACAGAAAGCGAGAAATCACCCCCAGGGGGATGGCCATGCTGCAATCCCTTTTCCTCCATTCTCCTCTCGGGATCTTGGCCATGCACGCACACGTGCCTGGCGTGAGTTTTAAGCCACTGGGTCTGGGATGTGAACCACGGTTGACTACATGGAAGTCCAGTGACATAGCCATTATGCTAACTGCTGGCCACAAAGAGCATGTTTAAAGTGGTCTTTTGAAAGACTGAAAGAGAGTCATTAGAGCCCACCAATAAAGAAGATTCTCTTGAGATTTCACTGTAAAGAGGAGTAAAAAATGAGGGTGACAGCTGTTGGTAGAGTGGGGTCAAAGGAAGTATTCTTGTGATGGTAGGGATGGTATGCTATATGATGATGGAAAAGACGCAGTAAAGAGACAAAATTTAACATTCTTTTATAGTAACATGGTAGAGTAAGGCTCAATCTAGTGTTCTCCATTTATCTAATACAGAATAAGGTTATCTTCCACCTTAGGATTCTAGAATGGTCCTGACAGACCAGCAAGGAAACTGGTTTGCTGCCCAGAGTATATTTAGAAAGTATTATCTGAGGGACAGTGGTTCCAAGACTGATAACCTTGCATGCTACAAGTTGGCAGTGCTTGTGAAATGCACGAATCCTGAACACTTAACTTTAAAACTGATCCTAGTATTGTGGGATCAGAGTAATGGCAAAATTAGAACTGTCATATAAGGTTTAACCCAGGAAATGCAGGACTTCTGTGGGAAATAACTCCTGCAAAAGAGAGCACAGAGCCAAATATTGTAAACCAAACATGGAAATAGCCATAAGAAAGCAGTCACAATGAATGGAGAAATAAACTGACAGTGCGAATGAAGGATGAAGGAGCTAGAATTATACAACATAAACAGGAAGAACTAAATTAGGGA